ACAGAAGGACAGAAATACCAAAAGGTAAGTCTAAACAGATGGCCACAATTCCATGCAGAGAATCAAATATTCGTTCTAGTAGAGCTATAGGAACAGTGGGCTGTAAGAAGACATGAGAGTCGGAACCCAAACCAGCAATTTTGTCTGCAGACATAGCAAAAGTAATAAGAAATGTTGACTGAAGCAACTGTTAACTTCATCCAGGGAGGTTTTATATCACATTTTGCTAAGCAGGAAACACCAGAAAATTGTGAGCAACTCAGATGCAATAAATGGCTGTGGAAACATGCCTGGGATTGAGAGTGGAGAAAAGGGTAGATCAAGGTCATCAGGCAACATATACAACAATGTATATACAACATCCAAAATAACCAGCAGGAAAAGATAGACACTCCTTTGGACATGAAGTTGCTTCTAGAGCATTGCACATAAAGAAAAGCTAAACAGTTAGCAGATTCCCCAGAACCCCAGTTTTCACTCTTCTGTGAAGTGCTTCAGAGATATTTCGAAAGGGAACTTGATAAAATGCATCATTGCTGACCAAGTCAGCAGGTTTACTACTCAGTTTCATTAGTAAATTCCTCCCAATATTTAGCAACCACAGCATCTTTGAAGGAGGAAAGGACCAACTTGTCTAAAAATCAAATCCCCCCCAAGGGACAGCTGGCAGAAATATAAGGTCAAGCACTTTAGCTGGTATTACAGAAAAGTAGCAGAAAACCGACCTTCAGCTAGAACTAATATATGTAGAACAGGTTATGACCTCAATTGGTTTCTCCAATTTCTGTACCAATGGGAGACAGCAAATAGTATTTACTTTCTTCATGAGTGAATGGAATGCTAACAGATTTCATAACCAATATTTGGGCTGTTCTAGTCACGACATCCCAAGAAAGATATAACAGAGCTGGAAAAGATCCAGGGAAAAACAACGAAGATGATCAAGGGGAAAGCTTATCTTTCAGTCAAGGACAGACTGAAAGACTAAAAAGGATTAGAGTTTCTCAGACTGGGAAGATGAAAATGAAAAAGCATTAGTGGGGGGATATGAGGTTAAAGTCAACTCTGGGTAAATATAAATGTGTTTACTGAATTCCAAAGCATTTAATTGGGGCCATTCTTTGAGGTTAAAGGATGCAGATTAAAGAGAAATTAAAACATTCCTTTATTTATAGAGAATTCAGTACATTTATGGAACATATTCTTAAGACAAGGCTGAGATGGGGAATGGGAAAGGTTTAAGACAGCATTGGATAAACTCACTGCCAGTTGATTTACAATGTATTATTAAGAAATGATCATGGTGGATCCTAATTTTTTAGGTGAAACTTACTAGGTTAACTGACAAAACAACTATTGGTATCTTCATTTGGGACAGAGTTCTGTGCTGGTTGCCCTGTGTTCTGACCCAGTGTGATATTTCTTATGCTCTTATTATGACATCTATGCTGGAACATCCTGCATGCAAGTTGGGGATTCCTAAATTCTTTCGACGGTCCAGAACACAGAAGAATAATTTTCAAACTCATTAAGAAAGCAAGAGAGTCCCAGCTCTTGGCTCTGTTTGGTTTACCCATATGGGAGTATGCAACATAAAAAGGTGAAAGAAATCCTAACAGAATGCAGCAGCTGGTTAAAGGCTATTATATTGAAATTTTCATGAGTTTGACAGTAGGCCAAAAAACTACAAAATGGCAGAGAGTAGAAAAGCCAGTTGTAACAGGTTGAACATTGTTGGTGATTATTTTTTCAGTAGCAATGAAAGCTGTAATCAAATAACCTGAAAGAGATGCTGGCAGAATAAGAGAGCCCCAAGGGAGAGGGAATATGAAAACTGTAACAATGATGTATGCTCTGGACTAATAAACTAGACAAACATGTAGTTCGAAGTATCAAACTCAAGGTTCTTAGCATCGTATGAAAAGCTGGTGTCAGGATGCAGGCATGAACACTGCCTGATTTGCAATCTAGAGCAAAAGATGTTGTTAATGACTTAAAACCTCAAGGATGAGTGCACAACTCAACAACCAACTAGGAACTGTGCTATTGGTATAGAAACCTCTTGTTATTTGGATGATCACTTTATCCCAGCATTGAAAAGGAAAAATTATAAAGCATTTAAAAAATAGCCAGAGAAGACATGTGGTTTCACAGCTGGGCATATGTGGTAAAAACCCTTGAATGGAAGTCAACACAAATAAGACAAGAAAGAGGAAAAATGGAGACTGGTCAAAACAATGTCATTATAAGCTTATTTTTATCATTATTTTTGGACCAATATAGCATCTCAGGTTATGAATGGCATTACCCAGTGCACGAACTCCACTGATCCTTGTACATCGAATTAATTTGCTCTAAGTAGAATATTTTAGATAATAGTAATGGATAATAATAAAACATAATGGCATTAATAATCTGCTTACTGACAATGTATATTTTATGAACATGTGTTCTCCCTATATTACATACAATGTTTAACATTTTAGATTTATAATTCAGAAATTATATAATCCCTAATTTCAAATAGATTATAATTATAGAGAGAACTGTTCTCCATAAAACTTCAGAGATATCTTTGAGAAATTATGTAATTCCTCATTCTAAGGAACTTATCACTTCAGAGTCTTTTATGGTCTCCATACTCACCTTTCTACTAATGTTTCCCATCTATAGTTCTATATCTATTATCGTTGGGCCAGAAAGAATAATAGTCCTAAATTATACACCACGATTTGAGCTCTTTAAAGATGTGCCTAGAAAAGTGGAGTGAATTGAGAGGGCATATCTAAAGCTAATTAAATAGTGGAAAATTGAAATTCCTATATATTTTTTAAAAAAATTATGTTACATTAATAATTAAAATAATGAATTTAAACAATAAAGATAACACATTCTTGAGCAAAAGCTGAGATCTTAGGTGTTTGAGTTTGGACAAGACCATTGAATGAGCCATACTCATTGATTCTTAGAGCTAAAAAGAACCTTAGATATCATCTAGTCCAACTCTATTTCATAAATGATAAACCAAGGTTTTGATTGGTTAAGTGACTTGCCCAAGGCCACACAATCATTTAATGACAGAGTCAGGACTAGAATTCAAGTTTTTTTATTCACAGATCTGTGCCCTTACTAATATTACCACGATGATCTTTGAGTACATGAAGGAGCATTGGACAAATAGGATATGTAGCTACTCTCTAATTCCACTGAGGAGAAGCAAGAGATTAATTCATGGGAGGAGGAGGTGGGAATTACATCTTTTCTGCAATTTGTCTCATTTTTATTTTTTGGACTGAATTCATTTCCATTCTCGCAGCAACATCCATGATGTTCCATCTCTTGTAGAAAATATAGTATCATAGAGAAAAAGATGAATATTTAGAGAAAAACAGTGGGACTGAGGGATTCCAGGAATCCATGGGAGACACTTAACAGCCCCAAATAAGTAGTAATTTGGAGAATAATGGCTTAAAGATGTCTTGGATTCTTAAGTGGTCCTAAAACTTCATCTACAAAAGGAGAAAAAGAGTCTTTATTTCACCTCATAAAAGAATTGGATAAAAATGTGAGCTTTATAAGTGGGTTGAGAAAGCAGCAGATCTCAAATATCTTAGAAATGAAAATTTGTGATGACAAAGACACTAATGTAGAAAATCACTGTGAGATTTTGAATAAAATAGTTCCATAAAACATACAGTAGATGTAAAGCAATAGTGCATGTCTAAATCAATATATTATTTAATAAAACACGTGATTTAAATAGGTAATTAAAACATGTAATTTAGAGTGACTAAGTTAATGAACTAAATATAACAAAATAATAAAATTAAATTAAAAAATAAGAAAGTTAAAAAGCAGGATCAAAGCATGTTGAGGAAGAATTTTTAAAGTTAAGAGATATGTCATCTGGAAAAATTTAATAAGACAAAGGGTAAACCATTTCCTAAAGGATGTATCGCTTCTTGAAGAGCCAAATGACTCCCTATATCCCCATTCTTCTGAGCTAACAAAATAGAGGCATGAAATCAAATTTCTTAGAACTATAGTAATGAAGATCTAGGACTGCTGTTATTGCTTTAGAGCTGAATTAAGAAGAATTGATGGGCAATGGAAGAATAAAAATAGACTCAATAAAAGATGGCAGGCTGAAAAAATGGGAAAACATTTAATATTTTTAAGTTACACTCATGGCAGGATCAAGTTCAAAGTATTCGGTTGGTATTAAAGACTATTTCACAAACCAGATTAATTTTAATTGTTGTTTAGGTTGCTAATTCAAAGTTAAATTTAAATTTGACTCTATTGCACAATTGATGAAAGACTGTTAAGGTATAATAATCACTCAATATCCTCTCTCTTCTCTCTTCCATGTTGATCCAATGTATCATAATTTATATTTCTTGCAACATCCTTCAGAAGGTGCTTGAAAGCACCTATATTCCTTGGACTGGCACAAATGGTCCAAGAAAACAGTACCATTCTGTTATTGTTAGGTGAGAAATACTGAGTCCTATGTATCAAGAATGAACAACTCAGCTCCACAAACCTGGGACTGCTGCTTTCTGCCTTTTGGATATATGAAGTATTCATTCACCTAAAACAGTTTGTGTACATATAACTGCAGAAATCTTCCATCTTTGTCTGAAGAAGAAATGTGGGAAAAGTCCTAGATAAATGAAATTGTTCTTGCACATGTTCACTCCCACTATCAATAATATTATCTGGAGCTTTCTGTTCTACTAAGAAAAATCTGCCCCCCATCACAAAACACACCATATATGCTGCATTAAAATGAAATTTTCTTAAAAGCAGTTTCCTATTGCATCAGTAAATTTACGATGGTAATTTTAGCATGAGTTTACTATCCAAGATTCCTCAGGAAAGAAAGAAATAGGTATTGTAGGCCAGGTTGATGTCACATTTTAAAAATAAATTCATTTGTGAATATACAGATTAGTCACAATAAATGCTCCTTTAAGAATGTGATTCTTCCAACTTACTTGATATAGTAGGGCACTTTGTTTGGCGAGATGGCTCTCTCCCAGGGACCCTGGACAGAAGCTGAAAAAGGGGGAAAAAAAGAAAGAAAGAAAGGCAAGGAGGTCAAATTCACTGCAAACAGGAAAGACAACATTAATCTCCAGAATTACAATTTTACACTGATATTGGTCTGTTTGCTCAGTTGCCCATGAAGACAGGACGGATTAACCTGCTGTTCTGAAATTTCTGTCCTAATCTAAGTGAAATTGAACTCATTCAGGTACAAAGATAAATGCAAAGGAAAAAAAAAAAAAACTTTCCACTGCTGAACCTACAGAACAGATAAGAAACAGAATGAGTAGACCGACGGGGTTTCTTCTATGTGTCTCCATTGGGTGCTTTTCTTATAACACTTCCTGTTGCTGCTTCTCAATATCTTTTAGTATTTGATTGACCGGGTTTTATTAGGTTAGCAGCTAGAACATCCCTTTGTGATATATTTATATTCTAAGTTATTGAAGCTAAAGTACAACGCTTATCATTCTGGTATGCTTGTTTTTCTCTTTCTTTGGTTTAAAAAGAATCCAAATTCATTTACTGATTATATGCTTAATTGGTGCCTCAAAATGTCAGCTGACCAGCTTGATCTTATTAGAAAAGATAATCAAAAGTCAGAGAATGGCACCTGATATTAGAGTATAATAAAACTTTCGTGATGAGTGATGAATCCTATAGGTGAAATTTAATTTCACATACTGGGAATTCATTTTATAATGACTTTGTTGTATATTAGTCAAATGAATCATCTTTACACTGTTTTTTTAATGCTTACTTTGCAGGGGTTTTTTTCTTTCCTAAAGCTGAACCTCTACAAATACCTTTTATACACTATTTGGTCTGATTTTTTTTATTTCTTTAAGAAAAAATAATCCTGTTTAGGAGGCCCTATAACATTTGCTCAACAATAAAATCTTCCTCCTGAATATCATTTTAAGACACTGGAGTTTTAAGAAAGAGAATAGCATCAGAAATAGAAATATAAAAAACATTCTTATTAACATCTAGTTATTTTATGTACAATTTTTCCTGAATTTTCATCCTGCTAATAATTTGAAGCACAGCTGATGCTGACCATTATTTCCTCTTATGAAAAGCTCCCTTCTAAATTAGTCTCACAGTAAATTCACTCTGCAGTGTATTGAGATGTAAGAAAACGTCAAAGCTAATATATCCTTGACTACACTGTATAATATGAAAGAACAGCTTCTAATAAAAGTTAACTTCACCCACTGCCAGACAATTTAAGAGTAATGAAACTCCAGCTTCTTTGTTTTATATAGAGTAGTAGAGGGATTGAATCACCCAACCTTTAACCAGACACGCTGTGTTGTTCCTTGGAGATATGTCATTTAAACAATATAGGAAATGGATTTGTACTTAGCCACTAATTATGCTTTTTCATTTTGGCAGACAGAAATTTTTAATATGGAAAAAACAAGATATTTAGCTGCTGTTTTGAAGTAGTCCCTCGCCTTCAATTTCTCTCCTCTTTTCTTTATTCCTTTCTTTCTCCTTCCCCCTGCCTTCCCTTCTGCCCCTTCCAACCTGCCTTTCTCAGTCTCTGCCTAACTCTCCTCTTGTCATTTTTTCTTCTCTAGCATACAGCTCTACTGTTCAGATTAGTTCACAGAGTAAATAAGATCTGATTTAAGAACATGGGCTGGACTCCCTGACCTACCTCTTCAGAGTGTGATGTTATGGAAATCTGAAAACCCTACCCCTCTCTAGCTAGAAACATGGTGAAAGGGCAGAAATTAGAGCTCCTGGCTCCTCTGTGCACCCTCTTCTTAAAATACCGGCATCATAAAACGAAGGAGAGAACTCCAGAGAGCATTTGGTCCAGCTCTCGCTGGCTGTAAATGCCAAGCCTGTGAATACCTAAACTGAGAAAAGAACGGCTATTCTTTCCTTAAAGGTCTCTATGGACGGAGGCCTCACAATTTCTTTCATTATCCTTCTCCAGTTCTTTATCATTCTAATGGTCCAGACATTCTTTCTAATTCTGAGGATGCTCCATGTGTCTTCTGGTAGCACAAGAGTCAGTTTGGATTTCCTACACTATTCTATTCCTAGGCGCCTGAGAAGTGTGCTGGAGAAGTCTGCTGATTGCCTGGCCTGGCTCGGGGGCTTTCTTCCTGGAAAGAAAAAAAAAAACAAAAACAACTTTCTAGCAGATAATCTAGCAAGAGACAGGAAAATCAGTGGTGAGAGGCTGAGCTAATAGCGAGACCTCCATGGAGTATCTATAGTTGACCTTGCATTGTTAAACATTAAAAGGAAAAAAAAATCCCAATTAAACACCAGAGGCAATATCAGAATATACTTGAACTAAATGGCTGCAAAAATTTTATTTTTTTTATTTTTATTTTTATTTTTTGAGACAGAGTCTTGCTCTGTTGCCCGGGCTAGAGTGCCGTGGCATCAGCCTAGCTCACAGCAACCTCAAACTCCCGGGCTCAAGCGATCCTTCTGCCTCAGCCTCCCGAGTAGCTGGGACTACAGGCATGCGCCACCATGCCCGGCTAACTTTATATATATATATATATATTTAGTTGTCCAGATCATTTCTTTCTATTTTTTTTTTAATAGAGATGGGGTCTTGCTCTTGCTCAGGTCTCAAACTCCTGACCTTGAGCGATCCACCCGCCTCGGCCTCCCAGAGTGCTAGGATTACAGGCGTGAGCCACTGCGCCTGGCCACTGCAAAGATTTTAAAAGAATTTTTAAAAAATTGTAAGTTCCAGATCAATATGAAATGTTAAGCTTTTGTAAGTGGAGTTCTTAATTGTTTATCTTTTCCTTTTTAAAAAAATGCTTTTTGTCTTTATGTGTAGCTATCAAATAGATCCAATGGTAAGATTCAGTGCAATTTTTTTTCCTGAAAGATGTTTTTTCCCTTTGACTCACAGTTTATAAATTCATTTAAGCAACTGCTTTGCAGTCATCATTTGAAACCCTGAAATTTTATACTCAGAAATGTCCTTGATGCAATAAAAAAAAAGGAAAATAACAACAGCTTCCTCCCATTCCTTCCCTGCCCCATCACAACCATATACACACACACTGGAACTACTTGCTTTAGAAATAACACACAATTGGGTGATGGCTCTATGGGATTGAAATCAGTGCTCCTTCTTGAGAGATCGTTAAAAGATTGTTGGCAATTCCATTTGGGACTGCCATGTGATTCTGGTCTTGCATCTATTCAAAAGTTGATCAAATATGTGGTAACTCTCATAAGTGTGCCACAGAATTATCTTTTTATTTCTTGCAGTAGTACCCCTGCCAACAATAGCTGTTTCTTATCTCAGTGTACCAGTGGGAGCTTGTCATCCTTCACAAAGCTGGCCTACGTAATAGACACACACATCTTTTATGCCTGATGTGTCCATTTTTAGTAGCCCATCAAAAGCAGATTTATCAGCAAATAGTTTTTATATGACATCAGGCTGTCCTTTGGTATTTTCTTATACAGATGTTTCTATAACCACTATGTGTAATTCCAATGCAGTTTCGTGATTCAGATTCTCGAGTGTAAAAATCATTCATTATCATATGGTACCAGCACCATGGAGTATTGTCTACTGAATTTAAATAGCAAACTACACATGAATTTATTTATTCCAAAACCAGCCTCTGAATTTCCCCTTGTGTTACAGTTGGAGTGTGTTATTAAGAGCCAGAAAGTGTAGCAATTCTACCTTTAAATGCTTTTCCTCTCTTGAGGTGACAGGATTCAATATTGTGCCCAAGGTGGTTTTGAAAATCACAAACACAGGCCACACTATTTAGGGGAAGTTCTTATTTCAACCATTTTTTAATGCATGATGAACAGAATGTGCCAAGCGATGCACCCTGGTGTTAAGCCATATTTTAATCGACACAGGGGCCTAATCAGAAAATGAAAAAGAATGCTAATGTTATTTAAGCCATGCCAAAAGAGCACTCTCTGGAATTCAGACCCAAAGACATTCATTAATCTTTCTGCTTTTCTTATATTTGGTGGATTTGGAGTTTGATAACATAGTTGGGTCAAAAAAAGTTGAGGCAGTTTAGAAAAACAAATAATATAATGTTCACGGGAGATAAAAATAGAAAACTTACCTCTGGGTTAAGAAAAAGGCATTAGGGAGGGTCTACTAGCCACTGACACTTGGTTCCTCAGAAGTATGTGAATTCTAGCAATGGTTTTATGGACATACTTTATATTAGCTCAGTGAGCAACATTTCTTAACCTTTTTCTACACCCTCCCCAAGTAATCTTTTTAGACATTTTTTGTAATCGTCCTGCCCTCCATGAAATTTTAATATCACAAATATACTATATGTCTGTTTATGGATTATATATATCTGTTTTACACATGAAAAGAGTAAAACTTTTTTTTGTTTTCCAGGAACCAGTTCTCACCTCCTTGAGGGCAATATCACCCCTATTGAGAATCCTTGATCTAGAGAAAGTTGGTGGGGTGGGAGACAAAAGAACAAGGAGTTATTGAGAACTACTTATGTGCCTGAAACATGCCCTCAACTAGCTCACGTGATACCCCTAATGATCTGTGAAGTAGGTATTTTCATTTTGCAGAAGATGAAACATTAAGATCACAGGAGATCAAGTGAGCTAGTAAGATCCTAAATCAGTAAGTAATAGATCCTAATTTTGATTTATTACTCAAAATGAAATCAGATAGATGATTCAGGAAATAAAGGAGAAAACAAACATATTTCATGTGTACTATGTGCCCTGCACTGTGTGTTACATAACATAATCCTCCCAAGCATCCTATGAGGTCATGCCATTATATGATTACAGATAAAGGAACCGAGGCTCAGAAGTGTTCAGTAAACTAACTCAGGTCATGCAGCTAGTAAAGAGCGCATCTGGGATTACAACCAGGTCTGTCTAGTCTTTGAACTTCACTCTTTTTTTTTTTTTCATGAATGGTACATCACAGACATTAAATATTTGCGAAAAAGTCGAGTAAATAAATACATCTTAAAAGGGATTTTAACATCATCTAGTCC